CTTAGCTTTAATTGCCAACAACTCCCAAAATCTGTTCTCCCAGTGAAGAACTCTTGCCCAAGCTCCAGATGCTCTCAGGCATCTCAAACTCAGCACAGACAAAAACTAAATTTTTCCTTCTGGTACAAAAGAAAAAGATAAATTAAGAAAGATTCTGAGATCATATAAAGGAAAAGCAAATAGAAATTAACCCAGAACAATGGCAGACAGTTCTCAGTGATATCTTTAGGTACAGCTTTTGTATTTTGTATTTCTCCTTGAAGGTAATAGCAGTAAAACTTTAATGCTGTGCTTCTTGTGCTGGGCTACACAGTAGTGTGTCAAGGTCTATGTGAAGCTGCAGTGTGAACAAGCTCAGCTTCCTCGAGTATCGACTTTGACAGAAAGCTTGTATGTGTGTAATTTACAATATTTAACTTGTAAGAATGAAAACCATTTTTTTTATATTAAACACATATAATGGGACAGAGAGAAAATGTCAGAAAAGTTTAAACTTTTTTTTCCTCCAAATATAAGCACACAGACCATTTCTATTAAGGCAGCTCAAATTTAACTACCAAATTCATGTCCCAGGGTCAGAGGAGAGCTATAATATGCCCACGCATTTAAGGGCATAGAGAGGAAAAGCCTAAGGGTACAGACATTACCCAGCAGTGAACAATGGACAACCAGCATTGCAGGAAGTTCTTTTTCAGATGAAGTGGGAGGAAACCGGGGCAGGGAGGAATTACTGAGCCCAACCAAAATGCAGAGCTAGGCTGACAAACTTAGTACAACACACTGATTCAGTCAATAGACATTTATAGATGCCCATATTGTCCCACATTCTCTATTGTGTGGCACCAGAGTAAATTAGATGTGTCCCCCCACCCCCAAGGAGTTCACTCTCTAGTAATGGGTGCTGAACAATGTAATTGTGCCATTGCTACAATGAAGGATGTACAGCATGAAACTGGACCATGGGAAACATGCCTAGCTTCGATTGGGGGAATTCAGAGAATACTTCACAAAAGAGGCATCATTTCAGCTTTTGGCTAAAACTTGGAAAATGTATAGGTGTCTTCTGCCTGTAGGTTGGCTAGAAATATTTCAGGAAGTTGGGATATGAAATGTGTGGGAAATGAATTAGACACACACATTCTTGACAGTCATCATGAGCATGTAAATCCCTGGAGAGCCCATTTCTTTAGTCTTGGTATACTCAGCAGTATAGCTGAGCACTGTCACTGTATAGTACCATGTTTATTGGTTTTGTAAAGTTCAGCTAGAGTTGAATATGGACATGGCTTACTCCTCCTCACTTAATAAACATATATTGAGCACCTATGATGAATTTGGTCCTTTGGTAGGAATAGAGTTATCCAGAAGATTGAGTCCTCGGTTCCTGGCTTTGGGAGCTCAGCTGAATGGAGTCGGTGAAGCAGACAAGCACTTGCAGGACAGTGTGATGAATGCTCTAATAGGCATATGCCCAGAGGACTGTAACTGCACTCAGGTGGGGACCTAGCCCTGTTTGGAGGGTTGTGTGAAGTTTCGAGGTAGCCTCAAAAAAGTGACTTCTGAGGAGAGAATCGAAAGATAAGTAAGAGGTAATGTGACACAGGGCAAGCTATACTAGAGGCAACCTCATGTACAAAGGTCTGATATGTTTAGAGAACAAGTAGTTTCCTATGAAGGGTGGCAGCAAATAATGGTGGAAGAGGCTGAGAGGTGGCTGTGCCAGGCCATAGAATGCCTTTGTGTCATGAGAAAAATCTGGATTTTATACAGCAAAGGCAATGATGAGTCACTGTAATAATGGTTCAGATCAGTGTTTTTCAAAGAGCAGGTTGTAATCCATTAGTCAGTTGTACAATTATTTTGGTGAATTGGGATTGGCATTTAAAAAATAGTAACTAGAGAAGAGTTGACAGTATTAGTGTGCATCATATTTGTTAAGGTAAATAATGTTTTGTGATGCCTTTGTTTCAATTACATATATGTGAACAGTGTTCTAATGTAAAGAATTTTTTGATCTGTGGGTTTTGAGAAACACTAGTCTAAAGGTTCAGTGGCACAAATTAATACCTCAGATTACTTTTGTAGCAATTAACAGAAAACCCAGTGCAAGTGGGAATAATCACTAAAGATTATTACTATAGAGTTTCTTCTAGTTATTCTGACCTGACATTCTGTGTCATCTTCAGACTAAAGCCAGTTCCCCATGGCTCTCAGAATAACATGCTACCTTATTCTTATCCAGTCAAGTAGAGACCAGATTCTTATTGCTTCAAATTAGTTTAGGCCCATCCATCCCTGAACCCATTAAGGGCAAGGGGATGGAAATACTAGGACTCCCTTAGACTAATGAATGTTTGGGAACCAACTGCTGTAGCTGTAGGGAACTATGATGCAATGTGGCAAATTCAGTGCATTATGGAAATACTGTAGCAGGACCCAGGTTTACAAAGGAATGAATTTAGGTGTGGGGATGGTCAGAGGAGCCACCCAGATGCCAAGAGTCTGTGTACAACTTAGGTAGGTGAAAGGGGGAGAGTTCTCTGGGTGATAGAGACTGCATGAACAAAAGGTGATAAGGGGAGCTGTGTATAGGAAAAGTCAAAATAAGGACTTCCGCACTTCCTGAGCATAAAATTAGAGGCAGGGAAGTAAATGGAGTAGTGAACAGACGCCTAGTCACCAAGGGGATCATGGTAAGGAACCAGAATTTTTTCCCCATAGGAAAGGAGGATGCACTGGAGATCATCAAGCAGAGAATTAAGACATCAGATTTCTATTACTTCATCTGCAGTGTGGAGGGAGGAAAGTTAGGAGGCTTTTGCAGTAATCCAGGATAGAGATGTCTTGGATTTCAGGCTAGGAAGAGGTGACTGCAGATTTGAGAAACATTATGGAAAGAAAACCAAGGCTTGCTCATTTGACTGTAGAGTGAGTGTAAGTAAACAGTGCCTGGCTTTTGCAGTTGTGTCTCCTTTGGATATTGGGCTTATATTGTGTCACTGATTTGTTGAGGCTGGAGTAAATTTGTTATTTTTTGAAGGAAGTGGACATAGCTGTCAACCTTGCCATAAAGAACCAGAGCCCAAGACAGAGAACCTTTGGAACTCCAGTGTATCTGGGCCCCTCTTGTGGGGGGTTGGAATTTATTAAAGAGGTGCTTAGATGGATTTGAGGGCATAGTGCACTCAAGTGAAAAGTTACCATTTATAGGCCAGATTAGAAAACTGATACATTGTTGTTTATTTCCCTTATGCTATCCCTGAGCCTCTAGTAAACATTTTAGGACTCATGTAGTCTTTTATGGGCCAAAATATTAAAGATGCAGTGTCCCATGAGGCCATTGTGGCAGGAGAAGTGGTGCTTTAGATTGTGAGCTCCTTAATGGCAAAGGTTGTTTCTTCTCATCTCTAGATCCTTAGTATCTAGCCTAGGGCCTGACATACGCCAAACACTTGATAAAGATTGTATTCCTAGTGACTAAAATGATGCTAGATACTAGCAGATGCTTATTAAGCATTTAAGGAACTGTTGAAAGCCCCAAAGGGAGGTCTGTTTCTGGGGACTAAGAGGAAAAGCTATGAGAGTTGAGCCATAACCCACCTATGGTAATACTTAACAGATGTGGTTTTAATTTTAAAGAAAGTACTTTCTCGGGGCGCCTGGGTGGCTCAGTCAGTTATGACCCCTTTGGCTTGTGTCATGATCCCAGGGTCCTGGGATCGAGCCCTGCATTGGGCTCCTTGCTCTGCGGGGAGCCAGTTTCTCCCTCTCCTCCCCGCTTGTACTCTCTCGCTGTCTCTCTCTCTCTCTCAAATAAATAAATAAAATGTTAAAAAAAAAAAAAGAAAGTACTTTCTCTAGGAGTCAGGGATGACTCCCGAGATATCTAGCTGAGGTGAATGTTCATGCCAAGAGGACAGGAAGGGGGTGAATTTTGGGGAAGCATTCAGAATTGTAGGTTTTGGGAATAAATGCTTTGAGTGTCTACTATATGTCACTCAAAATATGTCAGAAAGAGCTTTCTGGCAATAGCATGAAATACAAATTAGAGGGAAAGAGATGGGAGAATCCTGTTGGGAGCAGATGAATCTTAAGACTCAAGCAGCTGCAGGGAAAGAGAACAGAATAGCTCTGTCCCTGAAGCTAATATCTACCTGCTAAACCAGTGACCCCTTCCACCCTTACTTTCTGACAATGGTTGGGTTTAGCAGGCCAAATAAACTCTGAAGGTCCAGCCTAAGATAAAATCTCTTCTTTTCACTGTACTAGAGATATGGGAACTGTCAGGCCTTGCTGCCAAGTGTTCAGGCAGGGATGATAGTTCCAAGTCTTCCATGACTACTATCCTAGTCAAACCTCTGAGCCTGAGGCATGGGCAGCCTGGCTGGGCTAAGTCTGGCTTCACAATAATTAGTGGATATCAAGGAGCTTCCTACTTCTCATATGCTCTGGCCATTCTGAAGCCGGATTTCCCTTTTCTGAGTTCCCAGAGAAGCCCAGTTTCGACAACAATAAAAACTTCCAGGAAATTCCCAGCACATTTAACTTCCTAACCCTCCTCCCACCTCAACTCTCTCTTTATTACCCCACCCCCAACACCCACTCCAAGAGGAAGGATCTTATCCTTTACTGAATACTTCCACCCCCTTGGCCAGGAAGGTGGTATATCTGAGTTCTCAGATCCTCTCTTCTGAGGCCTATTTGGGGCTGAGGGGAGCACATGAGGGTAATATGTGATCCTGCCTAGAAACAGAGGAATAGTTGTAGTGTTCCTTGAAGTTTCCTAAGGCACCAGATTATTATGGAAGATTCAATTCTAGATGTTCACTCTCCTAGCCTGTCAGGAAGTAATCTTTCTCTAAGAAATCCCAGGGGCTCAGTCTCTATGCTAGATGTCAAAAATCAATCACCTTTGGAGGCCAGTTTGGAATTATAGGATATAAGCCCCATAAAAACTGGCATTAAGAAAAACAAAACTGCTAACCAAACACAACTCAGAATAAGAGCCAGAAACATAAGCAGTGAATTTACTAACCCACGGAGACTGAGCATTTGGATAGTTCTCATTCTCCAGAAATCCCAAGGGTAGAAAAAAAAAACACCCATATACATACATATATTCATACAAAAAAATTTATCTACTGCAAAGAGATGATTATCTGGCTCCCCAGAAGCTTCTTGTCTCCATTAAAACTGTCCATTAACAACTCTAGCTCCAGTTCTTCTTAGAGATTAAAAGAGCTCCAAAGACCTGTGATCATGGGCATTGATGAGCGGGCCACACACCCTCTGGCTCCAGTCAAATCCCTGGTGTTTGAGCTGTGTGGGAGCCGTGGATGCTTGCTTTCTGGTCCTGCCGCAACCCTTGAAGCAGCTGGTTTAGAAGTGTAAGGTTGCTGTCTCTGCGAGGCAGGGGCAGGGGTGGGAGGCAGTTCCCTTTATACTCGATCACTGCCATCTTGGCCCGATCCTGCTTACTCCGATTTGGGATCTGCAGCATTCTCGTGTAGCCCCCATTCTGACCTTGGTACCGAGGGGCCAGTACTTGAAACAACTTTGGGATCAAGTCTTTCTCCTAGAGCGGGAGAGTTATCCAGGAGAGAGCAGAGTCAGGCACTACTGCGGAGACACATTTAACTTTCAGCACTTCCAAAAACAGGGTCCAAACACATTCACACAAAACTCTTCCATCCCCTAATGTGGTAGCGTCAAAGTTACACAGAGGGGTTACAGGCAATTGTGCAGGTTGGTTCACGTAACATTCAACTAACTTAAGTCACACGTTTCTAATTTAGTTTACAACATCTGTCTGTAAGTGAGTGTCTTAGCCTAATTCTGCCCAGTTCCTCCTTCCTCTAACCATCCCCTCCCCCACAGGGAGCAAAAGATGAGATTTGGGAGGGAGATACGATGCACTCACCGTAAGCCAGAAGTCAGCCATGCGCATGGCTTGTTCGTTGGTGTCTCCCAGCTTTCCATAGTCGATGAGCTGAGGGGACATAACATCATTGATCCAACCCGAGTGAGAAAGGAGGCGCAATCTTTTTTTTTTTT